GTAAATGGAACACATCCTGCAAAAGTAAAGTTACATAATACCAATAAATGATGTTTGCAATATTAAAAAGAGGAAACCATTGTAAAGATAAAGAATAGAAAATAATTTTTTGCCGAGTAGAAATTGACTTTGGCATATGAGTCACTATTTTCTGTAATGAAATGGCAGTGAAGTGCAGCTGTTTACTTGGTACAGATTCATTCAGTAGGTTATCTGTTTTTCATGGACTTTCAAAGTGTTTTATATCAATAATAAGTTTTATATGTGCTTCTACTATATAAAATCTATTGTATTTTAGTGTCCAGTGTTTATCTTGTTGCAGCTTGAGTTACAAAAAGATAGATATACTATATTCAGTAAATTGTCTTTTTGTCACAAATCTTAACCACTGATAATGAAAGGCTACAATAAAACTTGTAATAGTATAGCAGTGTGGCACAGAGTCAAAATGCATCTTCAATTTTTTCAACACTCAGTGTTGAATACTGGCTGTAATTTACAGAAAGAAGCCCGATGAGGGAAAACATTAAAAATTATATACAACTTCTTGTAACATTAGTTAACCAGTGCACACACACATAAAAAGTACATCATGGAATAACACATAGAGGCCGGCAGTGTAATTTTGGTGTTGCAGTATCAGGTTCTCACACAAAAGTGGTATGAATATGAATCTGCCTTCTTAAGAGAGTAAAGATATGACTACAGATCTCAGATCATAAATCTGAAACTATTTTACACAAGATCCAGCAATCTGCTTTGGAGGAATAGATTTTCTCTTCTGTGTTATAGGAGTAAATGACTACAAATACATCCAGTGTATTGCATAAAGTAAGTAGAACATTAACACTCTGATGCAGTCTGTCTCCATGATCAATTTTAATGTTAAACGATGAAGTCTGAGTTAAGAAGGAGATATGATATAAAGGTCAGTTTCCTTTGAATATGGCTTTCTGCTTAGCAGCTGTCAAGTCCATATGGAGCCTTGCATTACATAAATATCCCACTGAAACTGCTAAAGTCAGCAAAAGCTTCGTCATAATCAGTTGGGGTCAAGAACCTTGTATTTAAATTAGGGAATAGAAAAGAACTATGTGACATAAAGTATATATCATGTTAACAAGGTAAACCAACATTTTGCTAAGGCTTGGGGGTTGCAACCTAATAATAATTAATGAAGGACTATGAAAAATTTATTTAGAAGTAGAAATGAACTTTATTGAGAAGAGGACATAGCACCATCTATGCTAAATCTCCAAAACCACTTTACCCAACAGGTAAATTATAAGTTTATTAAAATCTTGCAATCGTCATAATCTTTAAGGATTGTCCCCTGTTCTCCCATGAAATCTGGTATTCAAGGTAAAGTTGTGAGAGACGTATAATGATAGAAGCCTCTACTGTCCTCACGATCAGGCCCTGCTAAAAGCTGGGGTAGGAGAAGCCCTGAAGAAGACTCTATGAAATAATTTCAGAGCCTTGTAACTCCTTCAGTTAATCATATCGCAGCTTAGAAAACATTACACACCTTGAAGACGGTCTACACTGAAGAATACACTCCTTTTACCACATCATATCAGTGAAGGAGTTCTACTTTTTTATTTTTTCTTTTAAGAATATATTGTTTTCAATATTTATATTGCTACTTACATTTTGCAATACCTACTTTCCCAACTTGCTACATTACCCTGGACATTCCTTTGAGAACCATTGTGCAGAGGGATGCATTTTAGACTTAGTATTTCTTTAACGGCAATTTCAGATCCTTTCTCAACTAGATTTCACACAGCACAAAAAGGAAGATATGCTCAGGAAAAAAGAAAACACCAAAAATAAGGAGAGGAGACAGAATGTAGATGTGCACCTTCTGTGAGAGACCTTTTTAATCTCTTTTGGAAGTAGTGAATAGACGTGGACATTTCTGTCTGTCTGGAGAGAAAGTGGAAACAGGCAAGGAAGCGATCATCTTCCAAAAGGAGAAAAAAACCCTTGTATTTAATTTTGATCAGAAATTCTGATCAAAAGGCAGTGGATGGAACAGGAACAAGAATGGAACAGGAGTAAGAATTCAAATACTTCTGAAGAGAGTGAATATCGTACAAAAAGATGTGTTTGAGTTATGAGAAAAGGAATTCTTTTGAAATGGCAGCTAAAGCAGGGTAAACTAAAAAATAATTAATACATCCTTTGGAAATAGAGCTAACCTCCTGAAAGAAATTTCACAAGCTGGGTGAGAAGTCAGTGTTCATCAGGAAACTGTATATATACATTATTTTATGATATCATAAAGCTGTCTTAACACTTGCTGCATAGTATTAGTCTATTTTTTAAGAATTCCACCCATGCAATGTAAGAAATTCCATTACAAGTAAAATAAAATAGTGGAATGCCAAGGAAGAAATGGAATTATGGAGACAAAAAAAAATCATCAGTGGTAACTGTTGAAAAATGTTTTTTTCTTCAAGTAGGAATTAACAGGAGGACTTTATTACTGTTAATAAATGTCAGTGGTTTCCTGCTGCATGTTTCACCTTTAACTCCTGAAGATGAAAAATATGTCTTACCTTCTGTGTCACTAGTTCAAAGGTAATCTGAAGTGATAATAACTGAACTGTTACTGTCTGTGCCCATTGCTTTTCAGGGGCATTAGTGAGGACTGCTGCTGAAAGAGAAGATCTCAGTCCCTGACCATAAAAGTTCCCACCAGCTCCCTTGTGCTGGCACTAGAGATCGTGCAGCCATGTGATGAGCTAGTTCAGGGAATTGATCCAACCAAAAACATCAAAGAAAAAGAAAACAATTAGTTTTCAGCTGAATCTATTTCCTGGGATAATCCTTGAACAGCTGCACACGCGCAAGTGCCAGGATTGGCACAAGAGAGACAACAGGAATGCACTGCCAGGACAGGGAGATGACTTAGAGTGATCATGAAACTACAACCTCTTAGTCCACTGCCTAGAATAGACCATAAAATCAAATAGCAGTGCTTTTCACTAATTCTGTTCCAAAATAGAAGTACCTTGGACTAGATTAAAACAAAAAGGTATCTCTAAAGCAGGATTTCAAATGTGAATGTTGAAACCCTTTGGACATGGCAATGTGAAAGAAGCTTGACGTGCACCTACAATTGCCCACATTTTAATCTTGAATTTCTGATCACTCTGCCCAGATGGTTTGTTTTGAAAAAAAAAAATTGTGAAAACTGGGCTGTTTACCACAGACTGATAAAAAGTTGTGCAGGAACAGATATTAAGAATTTAATCATTTAATGTACTTTCACAATGCCGGCTACAAATGGTTAAGATTAGGTTCTCAGGACGATTTTAATGATTTAAATAAAGGAAATATAAAACACCAAAACTTGTAAGTTATATTACAGCATAAGAAGAACGATGTCATCTCCATAACATGTTCAAGACTTATTAAAGGTGTGTTGTTTATTTTAATGGAAGTTATGTTACATTATATGACTTGTAATGACATTTTTTTATTTATTAAATTGAGTTTCCTACAGACATATTCCAAGGAATTTGCCCACTGTACAACAGGAGCTGATTTTCAATTTGTACTAAATGTTATCTTTTTTTTTATGGTGAACATTCTGTTACATAAATTTCTTTCTCATCCTATCATAAAATCATTATACTTAAGAACACAGGATTTACTCACAGAACGTAAAAAGATACTCCCACATTTTTTGATTGCAACAGTAAACAGCAATCCTGAGATGCTCTTCAAACAAATTTGTTTCCATGAATTGTTGAGACTGTATTTTTCTTTTGACACCTGATAAGACTATTTTTAGAGCAGTCTTCCAGTGTTTCTGAACCATGTGCTCCATTAAATAATAAGGAATTGTAGTTCTCTATCACAGTAGTTAGTATTCATTCTTAACATTTTCTGTCAGGACTTATAATATACATCACATATTTACAGGTTCTCTGTACAGTCACACTATTATGAACCAACATGTGAAAGTTTTCATCAGTTTATTATTGCACTGCCAGTGTTTGCATGAACCTTCAAATGCAATGAATATGCAGGCCCTAAAAAAATGAGAGTAACATAGGATTTTACTCTAACATGCTAATAAAGTCTTGAGGAGTTTCAAGCAAGGATTAGTGACATGGCAGACTGTAAAGAAAATACTGCATCACTGATCTCTCTGGGAGTTGTTAATACTTGGATCACTGACATGCCTGCCCACAGCTGCTCTAACAAGTGTTCTATTTCTGATCGTTTGGTGCATACTTTACCCACAGATTCTTGACATAGACCATATTGGCACTGAGGAAACAGCTATAATTTACAGTTTTTAATGGATGGCTATTTGAGTCCTTTTAGCCACAAATTACTGACATGAGAGGCTGTTACTCTCCACAGTACCAATGTCTGTCTGGGGAGGGTAGACTCCGCGGATTACTGACAGACAAGGTGACTTTTAAATTATTACTCTATTCCAGTTACATTATTTCATGCTCTTATAGACCATTATTCACAGATTATCAATGTTGTATTATTGACTGGAGGTAAATACGATGTGTGGAAACTGTTATACAGAAAAACACTAGGCCATTGAAAATTCTTTTAATCCATGAAAAATTAACACAGTGGACCGTAACTTCTTTGGAGCTTGCACTGTATATGTCCTGTCAACATCACACAGGAGATTTTTTAAATAGTCTATTAATCTTTTAACTGCAAGAGTAGGTGGACATTTGTGTATACTAAAACAAGTAAGTGCTGTATCATTCGGACACTACTTCAAGTATGTGCGCATTGTATCTGCCCGACACATATCTTATAAAGAGAGAACAGATTGTTACAAGCAAAGGAGTGACCTCAACAATCTAGTCCCTTTACATAGACAGTTTTTCTTATCATGGTTTTAATATCATACAAAACTGGTACCATCAGGGTGGGTATCTATCAGAGAAAAGTCTAGGGAAACAGAAAGCATGACATTTTGAACAATATGAATGAGTAAGGGGGGCAATTACCTCATACTCCTGTGAGAACTTCAAATTGTCATTTGCTTTCAATCTTTCAATGTGATCTGCAAGTTCCAAGATAGGTATTGGGGGATGACTGGCCATACCTGTTGAACAAGAAAGAAGAAGAAAACTTAAAGTAAACTACAGTGATGGCATTGCTCTAAAATTTAGAAAATGCAGTAGTTAGAATGGCTAGAAATGTGTAAGTAGTAAAGATGTCATATGTGAGAGAAGCAGGCAAATAGTTTGGTTACTCAAAGCAGGACATGCTCTGGATAGATGAGCTCTGAAGCCAAATTAAAAGAAGTCACCAAGCATATTCCCAAAGCTAACATTCCTACGGTAGAGGAAAGAGTTACTGTGATATGAGTCAATGAGGTTAGCTAGGCATGGAAAAATGAGACAGTTAGACCTGATGTCGACCTCTGCTTTGAGTAATGACTCTTAATGTCATCTCAAACTCCTTCTCCTGCACTGCATGAAATGGAAACTCCATTGAATTAGATGAGGAAAGGTGAGCTGAGAAACAGACATTGAAAGAGCCCTAAAGGAGAAAGAACAGTGTTTTGATAGAAAACAAAGTGACTTATGCATAATCAAGAAAAATGAACTTGAAGAATGAAGGTTACCGAGGTAACCGGAGACACCTGAACCTGCAAAGGAAATAGTAAAAAATAAAGAAACCTCAAGCCAACATAAAATTAACTTATAAAAGAAATTATAAGAAATGAAATGGATAGCTTAAGGATTAATATTAATGCATCAAGATCTAGAAGTCTGACTACATATTCTGGCTATTTCAGAAATACTTTCATGAAATTTTGAAGTGACTGACATTCACATGCAACTATGAATGACTAGAATAACATGCACCATTGCTTTTAGACAACAGTCACTGAAGACAACATTGAACATCAGACAATTAGAACTTCAAAAATGTTTTCACTAGTAGCAGATTGTAGGGGCAGGGGTTGTACAGTTTGGCTGGACACACGTACTGACTGCACTAGCACCTTAAGATACGCTTAATCTGAAACCCCATTTATCAACCCCCAAAAGTACCTACAATCTACTTCAGGTGTAAACATCTTTGTCTACTGATGAAGATACTGAGTGAAAAGAAGTGGAGCTGGGAATCAGAGATAGAGATGAGTATGGAAGGGAGTAAAGGTACAGCAAGGCAAAAAAAAAAGACATAAAAGATGTGGGGTCAACTAGAACAATCTGCCAGCTTAAGATTTGCCAAGCAAGAATTTGTTAACATATTTGTTTCAGGATATTGGTCTTCACAGCCCTTCTCCAAAATGCTCACATTCTTCTCTTCATGGTTTATGCTATCACACCTAAAACGAAAAGTGGGTTTTCCATTGTTGGTGGGAAGAAAGCAGAGCTGGCTGGAAAAATTAAGCTAGTGAACCCCAGGATCTCTTGAAATTACAAAAGAGAAAACAGTGATGACTCAAGGGGGCTCAAGCTGGAAGCTATGTTGCACAATGCAGTTTGCTTTGTCACCGTGAATTTCAAGAGCATGCCTAAGACAGTTAACTTGCATTTCCTGTAAACATAGCTGAAAATGACCACGTGGTCACCACACAGTCATATTATAGCACGTTTTTTTTTTAAATTGTTTTCTTTTTTGATTGACATTTCAGGCATCATACTAGAGTCCAAAATAATGTCCAGCAGAACTGACCCTAATTTTTCTGGCTTTATGCATATATACTTATATATTACCTTCATAGCACATCTGTGATGGTGAGATATTGTTTAAAGTAGATATTAAAGCAAGCTGTCAGTCAACTAAGAAAGCAGAATATTCAGACACAATGGGGAGATTTCTTACAAATTTCAATTAACAACTGATTCCGTAAGTACTGATTGATTTGAACCATTTCTGGTTGTCTCTTTTTTTCTTAGAAATTTCATTTAATAGAACTTTGCTATTCTCAAAATGGGCATGGGTGACAGTCTTCTAATAAATGCACTGATTGATCCAGATCAAGCACCCCTATGGAAAATATGTGAGTGAAAAGGCACAAGAGAACTCTAGATTGTTCCAGAAATGGAGGTGGACTGATGTACATCTAAAACAGTGCTTGAACAAAGAAAATAATAGAGACAAAGATGTTTAGACCTTTTCGAGCGAATCGTGGGAGAGAGTTATTATCATATAAGGACTGAGTGGTAGTTTGGCTAGAGAGGGAGGACACAGAGCCAATCAGGGAGGCGTAGGGGACTGAATTACTGCTCAAAGCTGTAAAAAGTAAAAGCCAATCGGAAATGTGAAACAATTAGTAACAGCAGTAGACCATCATAATCAATCAATCTTGTACATACAGGCACTTCAGACATGCACAAAACAGCATCTGGAAACTCAACTGAGAAGATGTCTAAAGGTCTAGTTAACCTACTGTAAACATAAAGGACATAAAACCAAAGAGAATGAGACTTGCTCATTACATGGTGAACCTGACTAAATCACCAGCGTCATGAACACAAATCTCAATATTTAGCTTACTGTGAAGGATTTTTTTTTTTTTTTAAGATGCTAAACATCCATTCTTTTTAAAACTCTTTTTGTTTCTATGCTCCTCTAAATGCCACTTGACATTCCTAGGGGAAGATTTCATATTAAACATTTTGTGCAAAATGAAATTTGACATAAAACTTTCTTTTGTAAGGAAAAAAAAGGAGCTACTTCGAACTTCAGAAATTGGCAAATTTTGACAGCATATAACCCCTTTCTCCAGAATACATTTTAGGCATTTACACTTGGACACTTAGTAACTTTATTCAAATAATGTTTTGCAGTTAACTTATAAAGCTGAAGTAACTGACTTGAGTATGTTTTAATCTTTTAAATATATAAAACATGCTCTACTTAAGTGATAAAATAGCTACTTTTTAAAAGAACTGCTGGAAGACTTTTGTTATTTCATCAATCTATGAATCATAACCGGCATCATAACAGAATATGCTATGAATTAACATTTTAAGATCTCATTATATCTCATGCAAAAGCATGAGGATCCTACTGAGCTTAACATGAATTGCATGTTAGCAACAGCAACAGCAACAGCAGGTGTAGAACTTGACTCATAAAATCAACCCAAAATACAGATAAACACACTTGTTTTTGTGGTTACAAATAAGAAAATACACTTATTTGCTGACACACCTCCACATCAATCAACATATGCTATGAAAACACAAAAAAATTAAAGACAAAAAACAGCTAAATTACAACAGATCCTGTGACATGCTACAAAGGTAAAAGAAACAACATGCTGAAAACATGCATTCCAAAGTCTTTCAAATAAGAAAATAAACAGATAAAAACACTTAAAAACTTAACCAGAAAAACAAAACCAAAACACAACACGTGCAAAAGACAGCTGTAATTGTATCTATAAGAAGCTTTTGTTTCCAGACTTGGTCGAAGATTGCCAAAGGTGATTGATCTTATGCAGCCTAGTAGTATCCCCTCCCCATGAATTAAATGAGAATGTATGGTTTAATTATCTTCTGTTTAATCTGTGGTAAATACATGACTTAGAATCATGGGATACCATATGTTCCACAATTTCAAGGAAAAACTGAGAGAGAAAGGTCAGAATTCACCTGCATATTAACAGACATTCAACCTGTTAAGTATACTCCTTTACCCCACTGAAACGACTAGTGTTTTGGCCTTGTCATTAGTGCATTAAATTAGGATTTTTTTTGTTGTCAGGGTTTTATGATAAGGGCTTTTAAAAACATTTAAGAAACATACATTTATTTACAAATTCGGACCTGTACGTTGACATGCCCACAATAAACAAGACGGAAGTTAGAAATTAAATAAAGTGTATAGCTGATAGCATACCGACTACAGTCCAGACGAACTGAAAAAGTGCCACATTATTTTTACAGAAATTTCTTTATGAAATTAGCTATATTTCAGCACCACACTGAAGTAATACTCTGTGATTTAAAAAAATGATTTATTACATCCTTATTTTTATTTAATAATAGAATACCTTCTCACATACCAATATATGTTGATTAAGATGTTGTCCCTTTATAGAAAAAGGAAGGAATCAGTAACAGTGTTTACTGTTACTGATACTTACCCTTATGCAAAAAATAGAAAGAAATGCATATTTAAAATTTGGACATGGAAAATGAAAAAAATTAAAGATAACCCTGATTAAGTAGGAACGAGGCATTCACAAAAATTTAGCAAGGATGCCTTTAGTATATTTGACAAAAAAAATAACAACTGTAACATTAAAAATTCTTTTTCATACAGTTGTAGCTAAACCAGAAAGTGATCCTATATCTTGTATAAAAAGCTAAATTTACAAGATTAACTCTAGAGAAATATGTCATTCTGCAATAGCTGTTCTAGAAGAGTTACCAATGTGCATATAATAATGCAAAATGAAACCACTTTTATTCCAGAAGCATTTATGCACTTCAAAACTACCTTTTTTTTTTTTTTGAATGATAGCAATTTTTGTTCTGTATCAAAGACTTAGCTCTACAAAGCAATTTTAGGGATCTCTGTAGCCTCATGGGATAAGCCCCAGCTCTGACTGAAGTGTAAAAGCTGTATACACTGAGAAAAGGGGACACCTAGTTTTCAGGCCCTGATCTAAAATTGTTCAGTACAATAACATGTTGCAAAACCGTGGGCTAAAATCCAGGAAAAAAAAAAAAAATTACTCTTGTGAGGACCAAAACTTTCAATTCCATCTCCCAGCCAAGCAGATTTTGATTGTCTCCTAGTTTGAAAGCAACCAACTGGGGTATCAGTAAGTGCCACTTGCACTCTGAACCCTACATCTCTTTCAGGTGCCTAAATCCTTCATGTGAGTCAAGTTCACATGCAAAGCTGTATGTGGGATCACTCACTGTGAGAAAGCTATTACAGTTTGGCTTTGTCATGGAGACAAACCACAGTACCTTCAGCCTTGTCGTGATCTTCATAAACAGAAATTGTGTGGATAAACTAAGGGCAGAAATTTCCTATATTGCAAAGCAGGTGACTAAATCCAGACATCACTTTTTCCATTTTTGTTATTTGCACCTTTTTTCTCCTTTAGACCTGTTTTATCTTTTTCTGCCTTATCTTGGAAATAATTTACTGGAAATTCCTTAGGAACTCAGGGAATATGTGAGTACTTACTTATCTAATAGAAAAGCAGATTCTTTAAATCAGAGCTGTAATAATTCTATTTCACAGTATCTAATTTATTTTTTGTATTTCAAAGCATCTTATTTAGTTTGTAAGAGATAATGAGATAATTGTTTAATTGGCACCCAATTATACAAATTACTTGCAAGTGTGACACATTTTATACTTAAATGAGGGGGGGGGGGGAAAATCCTCAGTCACTTTTGAGGCATGACTCAATTTAGTTCTTTTGTGGATTGGCAGATTGGGTCTCATAAGTCACTCAAATGACTTAGCATCAGTTATTTTCCTCTGTGCAAAACCAGGCTTCCTCCTTTTGTAAAACCTTTTGTGAGGGATTAATTATTACCCCTTCCCTACCTTTACTCTCCTATGGGGCATAAAGACTTAGAGATTTTAATCCCATATTTCACAGGAAACCTGTAGAATGGGAAGAATGTCACTGACTTTTCCTCACCTATTCCAGTTCCAGAAGAATAACAGAGATGCTATACAATACTGAGAGATTGGGTATTTTCATGTTTACTCAAAGAAAACTTGGCATAGATGTGACCCACTCCCTGACATACGGGTTTACCTAACAAGTATACATTTTTGGATCACACATATGGATATCGGAGCTTATTCTCAGATGTAGAACTGTGGGCTATTCCAAATGTCAAGAAAAAATGTCTGTTTTATCTATGGAGTTACTCCATCCAGGAAGGAGTGGAGCCAGAGATGAATTTGATAATTCCTGAACAAGGTAAGATAGGAAAGCCTTTAGGTAAGTACTAGACTAGTGAAGAATGAACTCCATATTGACAGGACAAGAAAAAGTCAAATGGAAGCAAGACATTTGCTGTACTGATAGTTTAGATGGTAGATTTTTATAACATCTTCATGTTCAACTGGCAATTTTTTGTACAAAAAAGTACAAATAGTTATGCCTAACTCGTTCACCAAACATCACTAAAGGTAGAATGCTTTCCCATTATTTCTTTCAAATAATTTATGCCTAACCAACTGTATCAGGAGTATTTTGTATTTGTGTCCAGAATTTCCAATTTCTAAATTCTATTTCTAATTCTAACCACAACAAGAGCTTTACTTTCAAATTATTTTGATAGTTATTTCTGATCAGAACTTTTTTCTTTACACAAAATATACGACTGCTAGCATTTTTTTAAAAGAGGCTGTTTAGAAATCTAAAGTATTAAGTATTAAAGTTTATGACACCCCAGAATTAGCAGTGTTTCATTCACCTCTCTCAGTGAAAATTGGCAATCTGGGTATGCCAATGTGATTTAAAATTTTCTTCTCTGACACTTTTTGCATTATGGATTCATTATAAACTTTTTCTTCCCTCTCTCACTGGAAGCAATTGGTGTGCCTGGAAAGCTCCAAGCATACTGTGGATGCTTGCATAATCTAACTAAAAAAAATCTTTTTAATAACAATAATGTCAAGTCATCTATCCTGGTGCAGTTGTGCTGACTTGGCATACACTGATTAGTAAAGTACATTAACCACTGTAATTTTTTTTTTAATCTGTAGCCAATGCTAAGAAATCGTAACATCTTATAAGAGTAGATAAGGGTATCGTATGAGGGTGATTGCAGATGTCTCAGTAAAAGAAATCAAAAATGTAACCACATCAGCCCCAGTCCCTTCTCTCAGATGCCTTCTTTGGCCCACTTAGTACCCTACTGCCTGCTGCTGCTACTGGCAGAAAATAAAACACAAACATCAAAGAGTGAAAGAAAACAAAACCAACAAAGCTGCTATAGCGAATGTACAGCCTTTCTGTAGGTTCCCTACATTTGTCTTGAAAAGCTTTGCTTGCATGTTATTTAATGGTGTGTTATTGATGAGAGTTAGATAAAGATTCTAGCAGGATCTAAATTTCTACAGTAAATTCAGTCAGATTTTAATGAAATGATAGCCCTAATTGAAGTTAATCTGAGTTAAATGATGTTTTGCTTTTACTAGTACAAGAACTGTACCTTGACTTCACTGGGGCTAAAATTACATATTAAGAAGTGTAGTACAGCAAGATGTATCTTCTCAGGTAGGAATTTTATCTTTGATATTTGGTTGCATGCTAAGTAGCATAATGGCCTGAGCTGTGTCTAGGGGTCCTTGGTGGCACAGTAGTTGGAAAAAAGCTCATTATTTAATTTCTGTACTGTATTTGTAACAATAATTTTAATGCTTCCTTTTGTGAAAAGGTTTACAGCAAAGAAAAAGACCTCACTGCAGAAATGTATTGCAGATGTTCTGCTCAACTAGTTTCAAATGCAATTGCAAACTTTCCAGATAAACTATAGCACTGCAAAGAAAGGTACAATTCCACTCCTCTCCAGTTCTTTTCAGATCAATGAGGTGGAATTATGGTGTCTACAAGTGCCACAAATTCTACCATTTCTAAATGTAAATTTAGAATTAATTATAATAAATTAATGTTATATGTAAAGTTAAGACTTGGCAGCAATTTTTCTGCTTGCATTTTACTTTAATTTATGATGCTTACTAAATAGATAGGTAAGACTACATCAGGAAGAAGTTCTTCACAGAGAGGGTGGTGAGGCACAGGAACAGGTTGTCCAGAGAAGCTGTGGATGCCCCATCCCTGGAAGTGTTCAAGGCCAGGCTGGATGAGGCTTTGAGCAACCTGGTCTAGTGGAAGGTGTCCCTGCTCATGGCAGGGGGGTTGGAACTAGATGATCTTTAAGGTCCCTTCCAACCCAAACCATTCTGTGATTCTATGATTCTAAATACATGGACAGCAGAAAATTATGCTTATATACATAGTTATCAAGCCATCCACCCTACTCAGTATATATCTGTCTACAGAAGATGACTTGTTTTAGGCATATGCTAAAATGCAGGAACAGTAATTTTTCTTTTCATGTTTCAAACACTTGTATGTATATGCCTATGTCTGTAACAACTTTTAAAACTTTTTATGAAAGTGCTGGATAAAATCTGAAACTTTGCTCAGCAAGGATGTGTTTACATTAATATTGCAGTCTCAGAAGCACAATTGTGAATCAAAGCTTTCAATCATTTCCCTTTACTGCACTTAGGTTCATATTGTAGAGAGGTCCCAGAGTACATCAACAAGATTCTCATATTCAGATGAAACTAAACCAGAACACGCACTCCTGAAACACACCTAATTTGGCCCAGCTGCTGAAGAGCTTTCAGTGTACTGGAACAGATTGAAAAAGCAAGGCTGGGTTAAAACTCATGCCTCCAGACTCTTCCCTTTCTACCTCTGCTGTATGCATGCAGTGTTGACGTTGGGTCATTAACCCCAAATTCACTGCTCCGCAAGATCTACTCCTGCTGGGGCAACACAATCTTTGTGTTCTTAATCTTAATATTATCTTCACTGTTTAGAAGATCAGAAATGAGATTTGCAAGTTCAGTTAACCCTTTTGTGATATTTGGTATGTTAGCTTCTGGAGTTAATCTCTCAGCATCTCAAGTACCTAATTTCCTGCCTTTATGAGCTGTAATTCATTATTTTTTATACTTAATGTAATATATTTGACAGAGGCTTGGGAAGAATTGGTAAGTAATTAGCAACAGGCTACGACTGTGTGCAATCATATTGTAATAGAAAAAAGTCTAATGGAATACATTATGATCAAAATAAAGCCAATAAAAAAAAAATGACCTATAAAAAGGTGAGAAAAAGATCAATACTATTTTTTCTCTCTGGTGTATCTTGACTACCAAACTGAACAGCTTTAAGAAAATAATGTTTAATACACAAAATAAGTAAGTAAAATATTTGTGAGTGTGTTTCAGAACTACTGAATATCCTCCTTGACTCTAACATATAGCCTGATTTAAAAGACAAAACCATTTCTCAAGTTAGCATTTCTTTCCTGTATTGCTCATTTGCGATGTAATGAAACTTCCAATGATGTTAACCTGATAATGCAGTAGATAAGATGGAAGCTTATTTACAAAGAAATAGCTGTAAGTCCATTCTTAATAAATAGAGGGATGCACATGTCCCAGTAACGTTTTCTAGCATTGTTAGGTTTAACTTGAAATTTTAGCATATAAAATATAGCCATACAACATATGCTCTAGGGCGCTTTTTTTTTTTCATGTGGGATTTTTCTTTAAAGACATTATAGAAATATTTCCCAAACCTAACAAAGAAACACATTGTCAAAAACTCATAAGCAAATAAAATTATATTTCTAAACAATCAATCTTTCCATTCTATAACAGCACCATCAGTCAGTTTGTGATCACAGGACTCTCAGCAAGGTTTTATTGTCCCTTACCCGGAGTTTGAAAATTAAGGCGTCGCAGCTCCACTGGGTCTGTGGGATGGTGAGAGGGGACCTCCTTGCTGTTGGGTATGCTGCTCTTTCTAGAATCAGATTCAGCCCTCTTCCTGCATGGAGAAGGTGTATACACGTAAACATAAGATTGAGCTGTTAGCTTGAGAAATAAAGGTGCCTGAGTGTGTAATCATTATATTCCAAAGGTGAGATGCTTATTTATGAAGAAAGTATTTAATTGAAAACAAAGGTAAAATAATTATGTATGGTGGATAGGACAGCTACAATTTGCCATGGCAAAATGATTCTAAATTTGGTAATGTCAGTGGGAAAATAACTGCATTCTGCAATAAACTGATTCTCTATATCACCATTTGGGGAATCCAAATAGTTAACCATAATAAGATATAACATGAAACTTAGAAAAATTCATACTACTTCTATTTTAAAAGCTAGCTCTTGAACTCTTGAACATGTCATTAAAAATGGACACACCAACTTATTATAATTGAATACTTCATATTTTATATGCACAGCTCTGTATTGCTTACAAAAAACAACCTAAATTCTTTGGGTACTTTCAATATGACAGAGAAGAGTACACATGTCACCTACACCAGAAGACATTTATTCCTTTAACTTTTTAGGAATTAAGAATCTGATGTGTTGACTCTCAACTACACAATCTTCATGCATATGATCACACCTACATATTCAAGGCTCAGATTCTGTATGAATGTTTTTGATCAAATTAAGACATCCACTGCTATTATAGTACTATTGCCAATCTGTCCAAAACAAACTGGGAAAGAATGGAAGAATGGAAAGAGAAGGGAGGGAAGGAGGGAGGGAGTAAGCTAGTGTATGCTTCCATTTCGCTGGAGAGAACACACAGCCCATGTGTGTTCTGACTCTGACTGTTCTGGTAAAATTGACCCATCAATTGAGAGTATCATTTTCTGATGCAAGTCATGGAGAAAAATGTAACATGAAGAATATCCACCACTCTGCATTTTCATTTGGCTATCTGGAAATTTAATGCTTTAATTTGGAGTTGAATCTGTCTTCACTAGTCCTCCCTGAATTCCTGAATGAAAATGCAAACTGGATGATATACTTCATGTAATATAAAATGAAGATGTAAACAGAGATAAAGTTACTTTGTAAAAACAACTGAGATGATTTTAAGGTTTATGAAAGCAAAATACTTTCCAACTGTACAATCTTGTATTAACTACTATTGCTGTGGTGTTTGGTTTTTTTTTTAATAATTGACTCACAATGTGACAATGGTAAGTCTGTTGCTACTGTACTGGGCTTCCCTCCCCTCTTAAAAATGCTCCAATTTATTTCTTGCTATTGTGGAAATGATGAACACCTGGTGGCATTCATGAAAGGTGCATACAGCAAGATCTCAAAGACAATGCAAAGAGGCCAAACAGCAACATCAATGCAGGAATTATTTGAAAGTTACTAGTCTTATGATTTTATGAAAAAAAAAGCTTCTTTTTTCTGTAAAAACATTCCACCTGTGCTATGTTGAATACCTTAACACATGTATTAACTTCTCTTTAGTGAAGCAATGAAGATTTAAAAACCATTCTTCTGCTTTACTTTATTTTTGTAATTACTACGGAGAAACAGCTGACATTCCTTTTTTATGTTTGATTCTGACTATCTGAAACTCCTACCACAGTAGCATAACGCCCTAGTGTTCTTTCTTCTTCAGTAAAGATGTGTGATGCAGCTTTCAAGAAGTAGTTTTATCTATATTTCCTTTTCCTGCAGTCTAGGGATAAATGGAATTGTCCAGAGACAAGCTTCATTTACCTTTTTTACACTTGCAAATCAGTACTGGGCAGCACAACTTTGTAACTTTGTATTCACCTACTAAAAGCACCAAAATATCTTCTAATCAGATATCTGAACATTTTGAATACTTAAAGGACAATAGAATAGTTTATTATTTGTTATTATTCTCAGGATCAGTCTGGATTTTTATATCTTTGCAGACTATACAAGACATCACAATTCTTTCAGATTATGCAGTGGTTGCGAGACAGGCGATAAAAATCCACAGAAGACAAATGAGATGACCATATCACATTTACTTGTAGAACTGTAAGTCAGAACTGAGTCTATGTGTACAGAGCATTATGGAAATTTAGAGCATTTGCACTTCAACCACCACCAATCATTCGTTCAATAGCTTTGGTTATAGCAAAAACCCACTGTTTTAAATTCATTACAACACAAATAAAACCATGTGTACATTGTGTAGCTGTGTTGTCTCTTAAATATGTACCTCATGGAGACACTCAAAAAAAAAGTAGTGAAACTTAGTTGCATAAGTTACATTATTTTTCAGTGCTATGAACAACATAACAAATCATTATGTTGCCTTCATATCAAGAGATGACTGTCTACATTTACTTAGATTGACAGATGCTTTGTCTTAGATCATTATAATGATAGGGGTTTTTTCCTTTTTTTTCTTATTCTGGATTCAACAAAAATTATTATTTTTTACTTCTCACCTGTCAGGTTTACTGCTCCATTTTAATGCAGCGAAGAGGGGAGAAAGGTGAAATGTTAGTTGACCAGCAGCAAACAGTCTAAGCATGACAACAGGAGATGTAAGAAATGTTGACTTACAGTAAAGATGTACAACTAGACCAAATTAAGAAATGACAGGTCAGCTAAATATTTAATGCTTGGGAATCATAGAATAAATGGAGGACACCAGGTCAGTCCAAAACAAATACTCTTCTGCTGAAAAAAACTGATCTCTTTTACACAGTATCTTCAAAGTAATGTCACCTCAAATTGTAGCCAGTGATATAATGGAGAATGGGTGTTTAATGTGAGCTATCAAAGTAATGTTAATATTACACTGACAAATGACATCTAACTAAGATGTAGTTCCCTCTTACATTCTAGAGGGAAGAAAGATGAGAGGAGCGAGGAGAAGAAAGATGAAAGTGAAAGGCATAGGAGAAAGGGAAGGAGAGAAAAGGAGAAGAGGAAGTCAAGAAAAGAACAAAGTTAAATACAGAGATACATATTTTAATAAATAAAAATAATAAAAACAAAACAACCAGTGACTTTAAAAACTATTTTACAAAAAAAGGTAATAAAATGGTAAGAAATTTTTAACAGTACCCTGGAAAGTAAGGTAAGCATAAACCTTTCTCTATCGAAGTATTACACACCTTTTTAGCTTTAAAAGAAATGTCTCAATCTTAAGGCTTACAGTGATCTATATAGATCCATAGTGATCACCGATCTATAAAAATCATCTAAACAAGGAAAATAAACTATTATCTCCCACCAACAGGTTCTGCTATATACACTGTAAATACAGCATTTGTCTACCTTTCTGTCTGTTAATCACAAGAAATACGGGTTCTACAAACTTCTAATAGCCCCGAGTCTGCAATGACCAGATTACTCACATGTTATGAAAAAGTCTTTATAGAACCCTTCATTATAACTTAAGATTTCCTCATTTTCATTTATGTACTTTTTAGCATCTTCTTTTTCCCTTAGAAGCATGTTTTTTCTTATAGTTCAAGATTCATCAGGGGACCAGCAGATCGAGGGAGGTGATTCTGCCCCTCTGCTCCACTCTGCTGAGACCCCCCCTGCACTTGGCTCTGGAGTTCTCACCACATTAAAGACATGGACCTGTTGGAGTGGGCCCAGAGAAAGACCACAAAATGATCAGTGGGATGTAACATCCCTCCTATAAGGAAATGCTGAGAGAGTTGGCTTTTTCAGTGTGGGGAACAGAAAGCACCATGGAGACCTTATTGCAGCCTTCCAGTACTTAAAGAGACCTTATAACAAAGATGGGGAAGAACTTTTTAGTAGGGCCTGTAGTGGCAGGACAAAGGGGAATGGTTTTAAACCAAAAGACGGTAGATTCTGACTAGATACTAAGATATCTTGAGCTACAGAGCTACAAATTTTTTGTCATTTGTTTTTGTTTCCCCCCTGCCCTGCCCCACCACTGCATCCTGCTGAGGAGGAGAGTGATAGAGCAGCTTGGCACCTGGTGTCCAGCCAAGGTCAACCCACCACAATCACACATTTAAAAATTGTTTGAAAGGATTAACTGTACGTTTGCCTAAGCTGTAAGTTGCAGCAGGGTAGTACTTTGTCAAAACCACCTTGAGATATAAACTGTGACTCAAACAGTCCTCATAATGGTTAGACATTGCCTGTAGGGGAGATGCAGCCTGAACCATCTCTATATCTAGGTAAGTCTTTGCCTGTGTTTGAGATTTTGGATATAAATCTTACTATACTGTATATTTTACTCCATGTTTGAATGAGCAAAAGTTTATTTTCTTGAGGGCAAGAATATGACCAAAAAGAAAGTGATGCTTAGTGAATTTACCTGGATCCCTAAATTTGATGTTTAGACTCATGTCCAATACATTAAAAATCTGCTCCAATATAATTGTCTTCCTTCACTATGACTGCAGGGTGGTATCATGGCTGCAATGACAAAGACAACTGAACTGGTCACTGGCCAAGTCAGTGCTGTTTGCCAAGATATCACATCCAGAAAGACAGGAAGTTCAACTGTAGCTCAAGAAAAGATTTTACTTTGAGGATAGTGGAACACTTGGACAGGTTCCCCAGAGAGGATGTGGAATCTCCATTCCTGGATGTTCTGAAACTCACTTGGACATGCCTCTGAGAAACCTGCTGTGGCCGGCAATGCTCTGAACAAGGTTGGAATGGGGGCATTCTCCAGAGCTGTGACCCTTTTTTAATATGAATCTATAAGCTCTTCTGCACACAGTACATTAATTGGCCTGAATTGTGTTGGATATTATATTGCAGCTATATCTGATGAAGAGAAAAAGTACTCTTCAGTATTTTCCCCATTTATTACTGTTAAGTATGAAGCTGCAATGACGTCTTGGCTATATTCTAATATAAGTAGAAAATCATTCTGTGCAGTATCTTTGCTTTCATACTTTAAGAAAAGTGAATGCAGAGACAATAACCCCTATACAAACTGACCAACAGATAATAAAGGGGTCAAACATGCACTCCTAATCTTTGGGGTAGTTAAATATGTTTCATACTAACCCACACTACTTATCCACACTATCTGAGATAGCGTCTGTTCTAAAGGAGGGCACTACTTTTCTTAGAAATTGCAGTCATCTTTGCTCTATGATGGAAATTAAAATGTGAAAGTAGTACTGAAAATCATGAGATAGCTGTCCAAGTCTGTTCATAATGCTTGTACAGACAAAGGGAATTAAGCATAGCTGACCATTATTTGAGCTACTACCCTTTGCACTTCAAAAACCACGGTAATTTCTGAGTTATCATCTTCCCACTGCACATCTTTCATAATCATCATCTTCCCCTTCTTAATATTTTTTGCATGTGTTTTCATGTATTAGGCAGATGTCCTCTATCCTCTGTTTTCTTCTCTCCCTATCATATTTGTTGCAATTATTCTCCAACATATTCTAGAAATATACTTGTAAAATTTCCTGTATACATGAAGTTTCTCATTTTCTTGCATTTTACTACATAGTTTTACTATGTCTAACACCTGTAGCCACAGTAATTCCCTTTGACAGAGTTAACTCAGAAATTAAATTTCACTGTTTTCTCAAAGTGCTATGCTAAGTATCCCTACTGTCTTGTCTAGTTACTGATGTTCTACAGACAGTAAAGCTAGCAAATTCTAGCTGTTAGCTTGCATCCAGGTTTCATACTCTAGAGAGGGGGGAAAAAAAAAAAGCAGCAATTATATATTACTCTTTTTACAGAACTAAAAAGTTCACAGAGGACCATCAACTGGTAAAACTGCAGTCATAATTTCTCAGAAGTAATTTGTCAAATCAGTGCAGTTTACCAATCTACAGCTTGTAGCTGAATATATAAAAATAAATAAATAAATACATATGCACCTTTGCCTGAAGAGTTCTAGTACCAGTAGTAAATAACAGATGGAAAATGTGTCCCCCATTTTCAGTGAATGACAATCACTTCATACTACTGACAAACAAATTTTACCTGCTTGTTTGTGGAATATGCCTATAATTTTTGGTAATAGAATTGAAGATTGTTATTATGGTTCCATAAATGTGATCAATGTTTTCAGAAGCAGTTATGCATCTGTTTTATATGACATTTTTTGGATTTGTTTTGTAGTATGGGAGAAGTTTTACTTTTACTACTTCAAGATAATCAGAAGAAAAGAGTATTTCACTTGTAGCACATCTCTAATGACTAGTTTTTGAAGTGACAGACAGACACAAGTTCACTGGTTGGTAATCAATTAGATTGCTTAAAACAGTAGACACTAACAGAAACCTTCAAGAGACACAGCATCTGCAAGCAATAGACCGCTGCATGATTACAGCCCTAAAGAACATTCTATAAATGTATATCTATTTAGAATCCAAAACCAAAGTTAACCCTGTACTGGTATTCTTTACTGCTGAGCAGAGAATTCTCTTTCCAAAACCTGAAGTCAGCTCTGTACATGCAACTTCAGAGGTATTTGACTGGAGACACTTGGGGTGGGAATAGCATACAGGTAGCAGAAATTAATCTTTATGCAGGTGATAGCATCATAGCCATTAGTTTTAGAAGTCATACTCCATTAATGGAATTATCCCTAGTGTGCCCCCATGTCCAACAACATCACAGCATCTTTACAGCATTCCTCAATTATACTTTATCAATATATTTCAAAAATGTATTAGGAACAAAATCTAAACATTAAAATAAAAAAGGCCTTTCATCTGTGTCATAGACAGTGAAAGAAGAATAAGTGAGGTTTGATCTCATTGAAAGATTAGTAGAAAACAGCTACTGATGTTTCTTTAATCTCTCAGTTCAGAGCTTCAAATTCATATAGATACACTGCCAAATTGAGGGCAACTGTCAAAAGTAAAAACTGAAATTACTTGAGTGGAGATGAAAATCATGTTTAACATCAAGCTGAATGTAACCCCTAATGTATTACTATCACACATCTAAAAACATGTTTTAAAAAGTGAAATGTGCAGATTCCATGCATATTTATATGCAAGCACATATTTTCTTCATAAACATATGCAAAGTGGAAAAAACATTTAAATGCAGAAATGTTAATAGTGTCATCAGCAGAAAAATGAACCCACATACCTGTAATTATTGGAAACTTTCAGTCAATCTACTGAAATTTCTGCACCATTCTAGAGACCGTTAATAAATATGGGAATATCCAAAAGCAATGATAGTTGCCATGGTAGTACAAAAACCAGAGTGTGGAACAGTATTATGAAATGACCAATATATCAGAAAGTTACACACATGGTAAGAAACTAAAAGGCAAACTTACCTTTTATAAAGAAGTATAGCAATAACAATACAGATGATAAACACCACTGCAAGAACTGGTCCAACAACCCAAATCAAGCCTTCTTCCTCATCTGTAATTGGTTGGGGATCAAGATCCATCGACACAACAGGATCAGAATATGGGCTGGTTGCATACATGGTCTATAAAAATAAAGTAAGTATTACTAAATGCAGTGCATTTAAAATATTAAGTACCCTAGATTTAAAATAAATCTATACAGGATGATGATGCAATGAACACAGCTATGTGAAAATGCTGTTTTTCTTCAACTCAGGCAGAATATAAACTTGCAAACTGAACAATGTACTGTTATTACTATTTCTGCTCCATATACTAGCAGTGATCTGTAGACAAATGAGGTTAACACAGTACTTCACAAAATGTTTTGCAACTTAAGCAGAGTAAGAAAATGAAGTAAAATGAGGAATATAACCCAAGCCATCAGTTACTAATTTTTGGTTTTTGTTTTAGCTTCATATTGGCTTACCACTACTTCTTCCAGCAAGATATGAAAGGATAATTTTGAAAGGATGAGAGTACTCTAAGTAAAAATGAAGGGTACTGAACATAGGAAGTTCCTAGAAAAGTGTCCTATGGCAATAGTAGGGTTCATTTTGGTGAGTCAAAAACTGTCTGACAGAGTGTTCTTACAGAAGATGAGGGCAATTTGAATTTAAGAATGAAAAAAAGAGGAAGGCCACTGTAGAATATGAAGAGAATCTACACTCAAATTATTTCTTAGGAATGTAACTAGAACTATGAAACAACAGAGGTTCTTGAAAATCTTTGCCTTTCTGGATGGCGTAAAGCCCACTGGCCTAGGATAAGACCTGTGATAACGTTTTTAATTCTGGTCTAATCTGAGTTGTCTGACCTATGGTTGAGTGCAGAGTTAAAATTACAGAAAGGAGAGGCTGAGGAGCCAGCTTACAAAATTGGATCACGTAAAGAACTCTGAACTACAGTAAAGTCAGAAGTGGAAAATGGTTTGCGTTTATTTCTTGTCTTTGCTGGAGTGTCTCCACCAGCACTAAACTAGGATTTGAACTACAATTTTTGTAAAGGACTTAAAAATTTGATTCAGCAGTAGATCAAGAATGCCATCTAAAACAGAGAAAGACAACCAGGAGAAGAGATTAGTTTTCATTTACAATGTCTGCACTGTATTCTGAAATATGCCCTAAACCAGGACAAGTGTTACCAGAGAGGCATTTTTTTTTTTACACTTCATTTGGCCTTGTTTTGGATTCCAGGATAGGACAGTGTCTGGGTTAGAGGTTAGAGAGAGGATCAGGACCAACAAAGCTGAGGCACTTACATCACCTGGTACTGAGCTAGTACCCACGTGAACAATGTCCTGTTATGTTATGCTCTTTTATTAAACCTGGCACCAAACATTTTTAAAGTCTGTGATTGCTGTATAGAAATTGGGAAGTCTCCATGTTCCATTCCTGAAACACCTGAGCTGACTGAGTCATTTTTCCCAGCTTCAATATTCCCAAAAGATAGAAAAAAGCCCATTGCTACAATAAGAAACTCTTTGTATTTGTCCACTTCCTTTGGAGTGGACAGAGGAAATGCCTGGAAAGAGATACAGAGAATTACTGAGGGATAACAGTATGAGCACTTACTACCTGTACTCCAATAAATAAGATTTTACTTTTAATTTTCATCCTACCTGTATTAGTGACTAATTTAAAGTAATTTATTATTTTGTCAAATTTAACTATTGTGTTTTTTCTCCTTCCTCTTGATAAGATGTTTAACACACAGACCGTAACTATAAGCTTGCTCAGCTTCCGTTTTACTAACTTAACAAATTCAGACCTCTCCATGCCCTCTTGATAAGGGAGTTCTCAATTCTCCCAGCCAACAAAGAAATGTTATGCCCTCTGAAGGAGAAACCTTATGTAAAAAGTATTTTGAATCCTTTTTTTTTTTTGCAAGGGAAAATCACCCCTTGTATGTTACAACTCATATGCCAGTGGGATCTAAAGTCCTAGAAGAAAACAAGCTATACTGAGAGCAGATCACTGTAGTTGAACTTCACCCACCCTTACAAACATTTCACTTTCTGTGATTAGCACTGCAAATTCTTAGTTGGGATAAAGTTAATTTTGCTCACAGTAGCTAGTATGAGGCTATGTTATGGTTGTGCTGAGAAGAATATTGATAACATACTAATGGATTTAGTTGTTGCTAAGCAATGTTTATATCAAGTCAAGGACTTTTTATTGTTTCTGATACTGCACCTGTGTTCCCAGGAAGAAGCTGGGAAGGGAGAGAGACACGACAGCTGACCCAAACTTACTAAAGGGACATTTCATGCCATAAAATGTCATGCTCAATATGTAAGCTGGGGGTGAGCCAGGCGTGCAGCTCTTGGGCTCTCCATCACTGATGCTCGTTGTTAGGGGACTGGCTGGGAGTCAGTCAGTGGGTAGTGAGCATCTGTATAATTTCTTTTCTTTTCCATTAAAGTGAAATTTTAACATTTGATTTATATTAGAACTTCCAGAGGGACACTTACTTTATTTACAAATGAAGCTACTTAGCCAAAAGTATTCAAACTGAAACTACTTCCTCATTATGTTTAAATACGCAAATTCTGTTGGCATCAAGAAAGCAATTGTAAGGTTACACACTGAAAGCATTGGACTAAAATTCAGATTACTGTGTAGCAGTTTCAAGTGGTTGAACCAGAAAATGTACCCGTCAGCTTTGTGTACCAATTAGAAAGATATCGTATTACAAACTATTTTAAAATACTGAAGTGTATTGCAACTTCTTTCATCAGTTTTATATCTGGAC